AAGACGCTCAGATCTTCAAGGCCCTAGCCCCGCCTCTCTGTATGTCATCTCCAGGAAGAGGCAGAGATTTTTGCCTGGTTTGCTCCCTGCTCTAATCCCAGAATCTACAACTCTGCCTGGCACATGGACAGGGATTTTGTCTCCTCTGAGCAGGCATTCGATATATTGAGCAGGTACTCAATATATATTTGTTGAGTGAAAAAAATGAGTAAGTAGAGACGCGCCCCGATTCGCTGTATGACTTCGAGCAAGTCGCTGCCCCTTTCTGGATTTCATCTCTGTCCTCTCCCCGGACCAGTCTCCTCGCGCCTCCTTCGCTCCTCCGGCCACTAGACGGCACTGTGTAAACGAACCCCACCCAGCAGGGAGCGGCGCCCTTCTTGGACCGGCTCACCTTCTCCAGTCGGAGGGTGGGCCGCGAGGAACCGGAAGTGCAGGAGCAGCCGAAGCTGCTGCAGCCGCTGCCGCCTCTAAGTGCCGCGTTTGCTTGGGTTGCTACCGGCGCCGCCGCCGAGGAAGCCGCTACAGCCGGGAAGGGAGTGGAGGCGGCGCGGCATGAAGCGGCGCAGGCTCGCTCCGTAGCGCGCGTCGGGACGGTCCGGGCGGGGCCGGGGGGGAAGGTGCAGTATCCGCCCCCCTCTCCTTCCCCTTCGTCCGCGAGGCCTGGGCCTCAGACACCGGGCCCTTTCTCCTTTACGGAGGGCCGCCCGGCGCGTTCTCCCGGTCAGCCCGCTCTGCGGTTTACTCGCCCGCCGCCATGTGCGGGGCAGAGCCGGTGCGGGGCCCGACTTCCCGGAAGAGGAAGCTAAGGCTCTGAGATTCCGAGTCAACCAACGTTCACCGGGCGCCCCCTGAGCCCTGGGTGTTGGCCTCCGGACTTGGACGTCCGTTATCTTAATTGAACCTTGCTGGGTTTGGGAGGCCGGGTATAGTCCGGGCTTACGGATGAGGAAACGGAAGCCCGCAGAGGTGAAGGGATTTGCCTAAAGTCCAACTGTGGCAGCTAGGACTCGGACTTTCTGGTTTCCCAGCTGTGTTCTTTTCTCTGCGTATAGTCCGGGCTTACGGATGAGGAAACGGAAGCCCGCAGAGGTGAAGGGATTTGCCTAAACTCCAACTGTGGCAGCTAGGACTCGGACTTTCTGGTTTCCCAGCTGTGTTCTTTTCTCTGTGCTGCTTCACTCTAGGTCGATTCCCTCCCTACTCACCGTCCCCATCCCATTCTGTTTCACCCACCCGCAGCAGGATGCTTCCTTTCCTGTCAAACCTCTCTCTTCACACACTTTTCTCCCAAGACTTGGCATCCTTCCAACCCCCCTTCTCAACATTCTCTGCTACGCCTCTCCTCTTCCTCATTCATAGCTTTCAAGACCTTTGCCCCCTCTGTGGTAATGAACCTCTCAACTAGCTGTGGACCCAAAGAGTGAAGTAGCTAGGCTTCAGTGAGGATTGGGGTGTTTTAAGTCCATGTGTGGCCCATGAATTAAAAATTCAGTGTCATTTGAGTGGGTCCAAACTCAAAGTGTCCTGAAGCTATTTCTGTAACCCAGCATGCTCTGTTCTGAGTGAGGGGCTTAGTTCTATGGGAAAGTGTCTTAACGTCTTAGTACACTGTTGCTGTGCTGGCATAATCTCACTGTTTCCTCCGATTGCCACTTAGCTTTTCTCACCACATCTCTCTCCATCACCTACTCGGCCCAGAATTAAAACTTATAATAAAGTAACAGGTGTAATCACAGGTTCTCCTTTATTTTTTCTTTTTTAACTAAGCCAGAATTTCTACAAGCTTAACGCTTCCTTTTCCAGAAAAGTTACCTATTTCTGTTATTCTCAGAGTAACATGGCAAGGAAAGACGCAAAAGTGGAATGCACTTAAAATGATTAGAATATTCTTGTGAAAAATTTTAAATTATTAAATTCAAATTAGTTCTCTATCTGCAAAAATGACCTGTTCTATAAGTCTTGGTTATCCTACTGAGTTGATTCTGTCTCCAATCAGCTTGATATGACATTATTACTAAAAGACAGAGGAACAGGAATAGGCACATAGCATTAAATTTTATTGATCACCTGCCATTTTTGAGAATTTGCAATAGCAAATTAGCAAATAGCAAATAGGAGCAACCTCACATCTTTATGCCATTTATATCTTTTTAAAGCCCTTCCATAGTTTTCCTTTTAATGTATGTCTAGAGATCAAGATTTACTATTGTTAAGATATTCTTTTGAGTAAATTGGACTACACATTTCTGAAATAAAATAATTTTAGAATTTTGATACTGTAAAATGCAAATACAAAATAATTTAGGCATATATTGCACCAAAATGAGTGATATTTCTGTATCAGTTTTAAGAACTATTTTGGGACTTTTTAGATTTAATCTTTTAGGCCACATATAGTCCGTTTTAGTAATGATCAAGCGTCTTATATCTTATTTCATTATCCTGGTGAGCAGGATTAATGGTAAGAAAAAGATTCCCATGAGAAGAGAGCAGGGTCAGTGGAGGGATCTATGCTTGAAGTTGAATCGCTTGAAACATCTCTTTGAATGTGGAAGAGATCTGAGCAGATGTAAATACAATCAGATAGGCACCAGAGAAGATCTTTAAGTGAAGAGGTAGGTGGGCAGTGAAATATATGCACTGTGCTAAGAATGTACACTGACCCTATTTTCCTATTTTTGAAATTAGAAAATTCAGGTCACGTATTTTGAGAATGCATTTGTATATAAGGTGTTAGGGAATTCTGGAAATTAAATCATTTAGTTATACATTTGTGTAAATTACTAACATAATATTAGGCCTATCCTAGAAGATGCAGGATATACATGTACTGTATACAGAATAGCTGAGTGTTATTTGAACTGTACAGTGTGTGTGAGTGTATATGGGTGTGTAGAGAGAAACAAGCAGTCCAGTGACCTAGTAAAATTCAGGAATACCAGATAATTTTATTTAAGTGTAAGCTAATGCAACTTTTCATAGAAGAGATATGAAGTGAATGATAATTCAAGAACCTGGGCAGTAAGTCTTGGGAAGTCTTTCTGCTGAGCTTCCCTGTTCTGTTCCTTAGCCCTATAGTTGCAAGCAGTGGTTTGGAGATGAAGTTTCAAATTTAACAAGCAAGTTGAGAAAAGTGAGCCCATTTTGTGTAGATTATTTGCTCTCATCCCTCACTTCATTGGCTATAAAAGTAGATCCATTAACACTGGTGGAAAGTATGCCTCTGCTAGCTATTAGATGGGTGAACAACCACCACTGTCATATCCTGCTATTCAATATCGGTGTGCTGAACACCAGTTGAGCTAAGTGATGTAATTCTCTGTCAAACTGCTTTGGATTTTAATCATTGGAAATGAATGCCCAGTTGTAATAATATTACATGTATACCTGATGTAACTGTCTAATGGGTTTTCTGGCCACTTTTACTACTGTTATATTGAAAATTGTAGGATAGTTAACTGTAACATGAAAAAAATCACAATATCCTGGGCACACAGTTCATTTGCATGCCAGTAATGCACGCCTGATAGACTAATTCACATACCTGGTAAGAACTTTTTCTTTGTGGCAGGTAGTTCTTAACATAGATCTATGTTAACATGCGAAATTGAGCTTTAAAAAAGACATTAAATATGTAACCATGTATTGAATGTTATAGTAGTAGTTAATAATTACGTGAAATTTGGTTACATAAATACAATTAAGTTTACCTTCCGGGCCGGCCTGTGGCTCACTCGAGAGAGTGTGTTGCTGATAACACCAAGGCCCCGGGTTCGGATCCCATATAGGGATGGCCGGTTCACTCACTGGCTGAGCGTGATGCTGGCAACACCAACTCAAGGGTTAAGATCCCCTTACTGGTCATCTTTAAAAAAAAAAAAAAGTTTACCTTCCAAGTGTACCTGTTTTTGACATTTATTAGTTCAAAAAGAGCAGACTGCCCCAGAATTTTTATGTTGCTTCTTTTTGGTAATGCATGTCAGAATATCACACGATGGTTTATGATAATGTTTTTTGTTATTTTCTCTGATACTTTGCTCCTGTTACATTTAAATATTGGAAAAGATAAAGGAAAGATGCATCTTATTCTGTATTTGTGAAATGAAAAGTAATATTATTAGTAGATAAGATATTAACAAATGCTGTTTTGAGGTTGAACTGGTAAATTGGGTTCAGACTTTTATGAAAATATTGTTGCTTCAAACATTAAATGCTTTCTGCATCAACTACTTCAACTAATTAAAGCCACTTGAAGATAATATTTTTTCCCTCATTTAATCAGAGTACAAGTTGTTGATTGGTAATAATAGTCATTTAAGTTTCCTTAAAAAATAGAGGCACTACAAGTGATCATATGATAGTGATATCTATCTAGACAAGAGCAGGAGACTCAAAAATGTACCACACAGTTAAGTGTTAACATTGTTTGGAGTTACATTTAAAAGGGAACAATATTTTTATTACTTTGGGTAAGTGCTCTAGGAAGGTTATTACAAGTACATTGTTTGGGACAATTATATTACTGTTCTAATTGGTCTTGATTATTTCTGTTAGCTGAAGAAATCCACATTTATCAAATGTGTTACTTTTTTAAGTGGGAAAACACTTAATTCCCTTGGCACATTTAGCTTCACTATTGACATGCTGTTGGGTGGAACATAGCAGCCAACTGGCATATGGCCTGTTTCCTTCCAGTGTGGGAAAGAAAAAGGAATTTTGGCAAGAGATACCTAAGGAGTGCCTTTCATAAAGGTTCCCAAAGGGATTTATAGTCACTGTGAAATAGACATAACCTCAATTTTTAAAAAATCTCATGTTTAAACTGAACACAGAAAAGGAGGAATTATTACTTTTCCTACTAGATTTCATTGCAACTGCACTGAAAAGCATTCTTTTCTTGCCCATTCTTTTTTTTGGAGGCTGTCATTTCTCATAATGTAAGAGAAGACAGGCCTGTGAACAGCTTCATATGCCTTGTTTTTCTAGGAAAATGCAATATGGCAGCAGCAATGGAAACAGAACAGCTGGGTGTTGAGATATTTGAAACTGCAGAGTGTGAGGAGAATATTGAATCACAGGACCGACCTAAATTAGAGCCCTTTTACGTTGAACGGTATTCCTGGAGTCAGCTTAAAAAGCTGCTTGCTGATACCAGAAAATATCATGGCTACATGATGGCTAAGGCACCACATGATTTTATGTTTGTGAAGAGGAATGATCCAGATGGGCCTCATTCAGACAGGATCTATTATCTCGGTGAGTATGAAGTCATAGTTTCTGAGAAGAAATTTTTATTGAGTCAAACTTAAAGTCTAGATATAATTGGCACTCAAATTTTGGTGAATAAGTAAGTGAATCAGTGATTTTTGGTTCCATTACAGGAAAAAAATACCTTTTAATTTGAAGAATTTCAGTTTTGGTACTATTTTAATTTTGGTTTGTCCCATTAACTTTATTTTTACTTGCAGATAACAAATCACGAATTGATCACTCTGTTTTTTCAAAGTCAAAGATGCCAGAAATTGCTTCTCCCTAGAGCTACTTTGAAGTGTCTTTCCTTAGGAATAGTCAGATTAGGAAAACAGTAAAACCATTAGTTTGTTCCCACTCTCAACAGCTGCTCCTTTTATTTTTTTAAACCAAGGCTAGTCTTGGTCTCCTTCATGAGTCCAGATTTTAAATGTATTCATCCACTGATTTACTCTGTTGTTTATTTTTTATTATAAATTTTTTTTGGTGGCTGGCTAGTACTATTCATTAAATTTTTAAAAATAGGTTTCCTTCCCTCCTCAAAGCTGCTTCCGGTATAAGTTTTATTCATTCGTGTGTGTGAGTATACATATATACATGTAAATATATCTGTTCAGGGCCGGCCCAGTGGCTCACTCGGGAGAGTGCGGTGCTGATAACACTCAAGGCCCCGGGTTCGGATCCCATATAGGGATGGCCGGTTCGCTCACTGGCTGAGCGTGGGGCTGGCAACACCAAGTCAAGGGTTAAGATCCCCTTACCGGTCATCTTTTTAAAAAAATAAAAATAAATAAATAAATAAATATAGGTTAAGATCCCCTTACCGGTCATCTTTTTAAAAAAAATAAAAATAAATAAATAAATAAATATATCTGTTCAGAGATACTCGCTGTGTGAGTCCACAGTCATAATTATAGATTTTTTTTTTTTTTAACAACTTCAGAATATTCCGTTATATAATTGTGCCATTGTTTTCCATAACCAGGCAGGCCTCTAGTGATAGGCATTTAGGTTTTTCTAATGTTCTGTTATAAAAGAAGAGGCAGTGTATATCACTGTATTACATCATTTTGCACATGTGTGAATATACCTTAGAACTAATTCCTAACAATGTAATTGCTGGGACAGAGGACATGTATATGTTCTGAATTTTGATTGATACTTCTGAATTCCCCCTCCAAAGAGGTTATAGGGTTTATATTATCGTCAGTATTGTCTCAGAGTATCTATTTCTGCACACCTACGCCAGTAATGAGTAACCAGACTTTTTGATCTTTCCCTCTCTCATTATTGAACCACAGTCTCGTGTAGTTTTAATTTTATTTCTTTTTTTATGAGTGAGATTGAGCATCTTTTTACATGTTTAAAAGCCAATCGTAGGGCCGGCCCGTGGCTCACTTGGGAGAGCCTGGTGCTGACAACACCAAGTCAAGGGTTAAGATCCCCTTACCGATCATCTTTAAAAAAAAAAAAAAAAAAGCCATTCATATTCCTTTTCTGTGACTGTTCTGTTTATATGGTATTTTTCCCTGTGTTTTAATTTGGTTTTTGCCTTTAGTACCTTTTGTTATGCAGAGATTTGTGATTTTTTTTTTTTTTGGTAGTTAAGTTTTGACTTTTCTATAGTTTTCTGTTATATCTGTAAAGCCTCTCCTAACTCCAAGATTTTTTTTTTTTTTTTTTTTTTGTCTTTTTTCGTGTCTGGCAATGGATCGCAACCCTCAGTGTCGCGCCCGTACCAGACTGGGACCGGCAACGGGATCGCAACCCTCGGTGTCGCGCCCGCACCAGACTGGGACCGGCAACGGGATCGCAACCCTCGGTGTTGCGCCCGCACCTCGCTCAGCCAGTGAGCGGGAAC